GCAACACAGTGAGACTCTGTCTCAAAAAAAAAAAAAAAAAAATCTTTTCAATTTATTTGTTTGTTTTCTTTTTTTTTAATTTCAGAACATTATGGGGGTATAAACATTTTGGTTACATATATTGCCTTTGCATTGCCCAAGCCAGAACTACAAGCATGCCCATCACCCATACAGTGCGCTCCACACCCATTAGTTATGAGTTTACCCATCCCCTCCACCCCCCTCCCAGCTGCCCAGCACCCAGTGAATATTACTTCCACATCAGCACCTAAGTGTTGATGAGTTAGTACCAATTTGGTGGCAAGTACATGTGGTGCTTGTTTTTCCATTCTTGTGATACTTCACTTTGAAGAATGGGCCCTAGCTCTGCCCAGGATAATGTAAGAGGTGGTAGTTCACCCTTGTTTTTTATGGTTGAATAGTACTTCATGGTATACATGTACCACATTTTATTAATCCATTCATGTATTGATGGGCGCTTGGGTTGTTTCCACATCTTTGCAATTGTGAATTGTGTTACCATAAACATTCATGTGCAGATGTCTTTATTAAAGAAAGTTCTTCTTACTTTATGAAGGTACCATCTACGTAGGTTGGACTGTTAAAGATCAGGTAGATGCAAAAGTGAGAATTTAGCAATCACCTTTATAGTAAATGAAATTTTATAGCAAATGAAATTAATTTAAAAGTTTAGTATAAATTCCTTGGAACATATCTGTTTTAATACCTTGGTCACATGCAGATATTCACAAGGTCTAGGAGAATAACATAAATGTTTAAAATCATGGGGATTGTGGTAAACTGAAAACTTTTTGCCATGTTTAAAGGTATTTACATTTTAATTTCTAACTAATATGGTGTGGGGTTAAATGTCTAATGTGCTATTTTTGGCATTTTAATGTGTAGCTTCTGGTTTAAAGTCCTGCCTGTAACTGTCTTGTGGTGGATGGTGGTCCAGCTTTTCTGCACATAAATCTTTCTATGCCTATAAGCAAAAACAAGTTTTTAAATTGGAATATCATTTCAATGTTGGAGAAAGCAGTAAATGTTCTTTCTTCTCCAGTCTGAAGAGAAGAATAAAGACTTGGTCAACTTTATAATCCAGTACTTCAGTATTCTTTTGTTGAAGGGACTGTGCGAATCTGTTGACATTATTTCTTTAAACCATGAATCAAATCAGAGCTAAAAACATTTCGTATTAATATTTTTAGTTAAAGCAACTTAAATACACATTTGTTTTGTTAAAATAATTTACTGCTTTATGGTTGAAGAAAGAGGTCCAAAATACATCCTTTTAAAATTTTTTCAAGCAGAGAGAGAGATTTTTATTATAGATGACCTAAAAGAGTCAAATTTAAAACAAGGAATCCCCTATTTATGATTAATTAGTTGGAGTGGAGGTTTCCTATTTCTCTACAAGAATCTACTTTAATTAGCTTAGTTAATGAAGCAAATAAAAACAGATAGCCAAATTGTTCAGTTTAAAAGGACTAGTATGCACCTACCATAATAAAGCCAATGTCTAGGAGAGAGTTGTGATTAAGTGTATTACTTTAATAGCAAACAACAATAATGCCTCGATTTTTTAAAGAAAATTTAGGCTACATTGAATATTTCTGTAGAGTGATTTATCAAGTATACTCATCCCCATAAGCTTGAGATCTTGGTGACTTTTGTTGCAGTGAATGAAAATACCATGTCACGTCTTTAATATCTTCTTTCTTCATAATCATGACTTTAGATTTCTAGAAGCTCTCAATCACTTTGAGAAAGCAAAAACCTTGATTTATCGTCTTCCTGGAGTGTTAACTTGGCCCACAAGTAATGTGGTTATTGAAGAGTCTCAGCCAGAGAAAATAAAGGTAACTTTATTTCTTCAGAGTGTTTCCCCTCACTGTAAAAGCCCATCTTCGTTGACAGACTTGGGTATCGGAAGACAAAGAGGTAGTAGCACTCTGTCCCCTCCTCCCCCACATGCATTTCCCCTTTAAAGTCTAGTGAGAATCACTGACACTGGACGTTGCCTGTGTGCCAATCACACAGCTTTCACTCATCATTACATTTGATCCTTACAGCAGCCCTACAAGATGAGTACTATAATCATTCTCATTTTACAGATGAGGAAGATTAAGTTTAGAGAGGTTACGTGGTGGGCTCAAGGTTAAATAGCAAGCGAATAGTTGTGCTGGGATTTGAATCTAGGCATACTGACTTGTAGAGTGTGTGTTATCAAATGATACGCTGTACTGGTTATACTTAGAGGAAGGTATAGCATTGTTGTTTCATCATAGTTACCACAGTTTTTGAAATGGTACTTAGAGACTTGGAAAATAGAGTTGGAGTTTCTTGGGTGATGAAAATGTTGTAAATTTAGATTGTGGTAACTGTTGTACAACCCTGTGGATATATACTAACTACTAAACCGTACGCTTTATGTGAATTGTATGATACATTAATTATGTCTAACTAGAGCTGTTATAAAAAAATAAAACACAAAACACAGGGATTGTCGGATTTTTCTCCCTTCATACAAGATTGGGATGGAGGTATAGGAGCTACTGATAACAAAAAACCAGCCCTGGAAACATGGCATGAGCCTCACACGAGCAGCGGAGTAATTCTCCAGGGGATCCACCAGCCCCAGTGGCAGAGACTCAGGGAGGTAGATGGATGGGTGTGTTAGGACTTAGATGGAGTGGCACTGGGAAGGATGAGGACAGTGAAGTCCCCAGGGTTAGCCTAAGGGTTATTCTACCTCTTTGACTCCCTCTGGCTGCTTATATGAGATTTCTAAGAGCTGTAAGTTATAAATTGAGGTTTGATGATTATAACAGAGGGCAGGATTTTGATCGTGACTCCCTGAAATTCTGAAAAAACAATTTTTGTTCGACCTTTTTAAAGATCTCTCTCTCATGGCATCTCTGTATCAGACTCCTTTTAAAAGGAAGAACTTTAAAAGTGATATGTAGTTTGTTCTTGTCTAAAAAGATTGAGTCATTTGTATGCTTAAAATATTTTGATGGCTAGAGGTTATTGAAATCACAAGCATTTTTACTGGCAGATTAGTATTGTAATTGTATCATTTTTGTTTGTTTTGTTTTAGATGCTGTTAGAGAAATTTGTTGAAGAATGCAGGTTCCCTCCAGTGCCAGATGCCACTTGTTGCTATCAGAAGTGCCATGGATATTCCAAAATCCAGATTTACATAACTGATCCAGACTTTAAGGTAAATAATGGATGTACAGTGGGATCTTAACTTACGAAACCATGCCTTGAGTGGATTCGGAGCACATTCTGTAATTGGAAGCACCGAAGTTCTCTGGCTAGCTAGCAGTTTCGTGTCTGCTCCTTTCCCTGGACTTCTTTAGATCTGCATCATATCACTTGGGACCCCAGAGCCACTGAAATCAACACTGTGGGCTGGGGTGGTGGCCTGAGAAAGCAGCCTAGCTAATTCCTTTTCTTCCTTCTAGCATTTCATGTAACCACCTAGTCTTTAGCATTAAAATGTGATTGTTACTTCTGATTTGTTGCAGTTCTCATCTCTTGTAAAATTTGAGTCCAAGAATCTAAAGGCCATTGTGATCACTGAATTAGCCCCTAGAAACCTAAATTTGAGATCAAGTCTGGCACTTAATAGAGTGAATAAGTTGCTGGTTTATTCAAAAAGATAGTAGCTGTTCACTATCCCACTGTCCCTGGTTAGTTAATCAGATGAAATAATGTTTGTAAAATATTTGATACGTTGTAAAGCATAATGCAACTATATGCTGTGGAAATGTATATGTCAGTCAAGCTCTATGTCTCTGACACTAGGCATTTTGGGGTACAGACGTGTTGTACTCCTTCATGAGCAGAATGTCTAGTTATGTCTGCCAGGTGAATGCAACAGCTCTCTTTATCTTAATTTGTGTGTTGTGAGTGAATGTGTGTGCACAGACATCTTTAAAATGTGAATTAAACATTTTTTGAAATCCCAGGGTTTTATACGTATCAGCTGTTGCCAGTACTGTAAAATAGAATTTCACATGAACTGCTGGAAGAAGTTAAAAACAACAACCTTTAATGATAAAATTGACAAGGTAAGACATTATAAGATTGTCTGGATTTTTTAGTATGCTTACTGTATGTTGATTTTTCTCTCTTGAGAATTTTAGAAAGTATTAAGTGACTATCCATTCCTTCCTGAGCATTATAGACATAATTAGAAAGTTTTAAATTATAACTTTATTAAAGCAGAAAATCAGGTTTTCTTTTTATTTTCTACAACTATAAAGGCAGTAACCATAGCAACCTTTAATAAATTGTTCAGCCAACTTTTGTGTTAGAAATGTTATGATCAAAAATAAAATTTAAATGTTTGATTTAAAAATATAGGCCTTAAACTATGCACTGATAATTTTAGTATTTCAGAGCTTCTTCATTTAACCATTTGAAAGTTTTGATGTAGAATTAGGGGTTTCAAAACTAAAATTTGATGAGGTAGTTTGTACTAAGAAGTCAACTCAAATTTTTTTTAACATTTGAAGAGGAAGATCAACTTAAATTTGATATTGCCATTTCTCACTGGGGTTTTTCATATCAAGATAATGATGTTAATTATCATTAGCTAGATATTCTCTGAGAGAAGGCACAATTTTATAATCCTATTTGTATTTATATAATTTGTTTCTGATCTGTATAAGCCATGGACCTTCTATACTGCATAGGCTCGTGTAGACTACTGTCCCTATTGGAGAAAAAAATAAGGTGGTCATACCAGGTATCTGTTAGCAATAGGATGAATAATTGAATAATTAATTGAATAATTGAATAATTCCTATTATTCAAGTTTGGTAGGAAAAAAATTCACACACTTTGTACATTTTCACAGTTAACTACAGAGACTATGATATGGCCAAGTAACTGTTGCCATCGAGTTACTACTGTGACGTCCTTGTCTTCATTTCACCTAAACTGAATTTCTCTAGTGATACACTGTCCCTTAGTGGTCTTAACCATTCCCATGGCTTTAAATACCCTCTGTAAATTAGTTAGCTTTCACTAGGGTATGCAGAAGTAATCTACAACCCAAATATTGTGTGGCTTACAATAAGAGGGGTTCATTTCTTATTAACATTACTTGTTCTGCAGTTCTGCAGTTGTTGGCCAGGGTTGGGCTGTAGCAGCTCTATTCTATGTGGCTGTGTTCTTTGTTTCTGAATCCAAGTTGAAGAGTGGCTGTTATCTGGAACATGTTCCTGTGTCAGAGGGAAAGAGCAATGGCCAGTCATGCAGTGTTTTTAAAAGCTTTTGCTTAGACATGGTGTGCATCATGTAAGGTCACCTTGCATTTATGAAAACAAGTCACATGGTCAAACCTATGCCCAGAAGTATATTCGTGCTACAGGGAAGCTCTGAAAATCAAGTGGCAATGAGCAAAGACTTTCAGTGCTTGCCTGATGGAGGTTTTAACTTACATTTTGACTGTTCTTAGTAGTTAAAATGGCATACATGTATAGATTTATCCCCCTCCCAGATATAACGTTGTTCTTTTTTTTTTTTTTTTTTTAATCAAATAGGATTTTCTACAAGGAATTTGTCTTACCCCTGACTGTGAAGGTATCATTTCTAAGATTATCATCTTCAGCAGCGGTGGTCAAGTTAAATGTGAAGTAAGTATCTAATAAAGAGGAAACCTTATTAAATTGATAACCAAAATATTTACACCTTTTAAAACATTTAAATTTTTGGAAGTTGTGTGATTTGCATCTTGTCTTTTCTAGGAAAGAAACAGTTACTTCATTTAAGAAATTATAGGAAATATTCAGATATTCATTGCAATGAAGCATTCTCACATTCATTTATTTCTTAATAGGAAAAGGAAGATTTTACCTTTTAGTTCTACTGTTTTTACTCTTTTTGATATTGTTTTCTAAATCCCCCCAGTAAACTTTTGGGAATTGGTGGGGGTACAGGTATTTAGGGTCGGGGGAAGAGTATCTTGAGGGATTACCTTTAACTTTACTACATGGGAGTGACAGGAGTGGGTAATTGTAATAATATTTGTAGTTTATTGGATTTTCTGCTTACTCTTACTTTTTTTTAAACATTTTCCTAAAGTATGTCTACTCTCTTGTTCCTCTTTTCAGTAAATTGTTTTGCTAAAGCTTTCTGGGCTTTTGTCTGGGTCAGAACATCATCACTGTTCTCTATCAAATTGAGCATTGACTATGTGTGCTTCTGAAATACTTGTTACTTGTGGTTTTGTGCTTTATGTCATGGGAGTATGAGACAAATTTTGTATGTCTTTGTTTTATTTAAAGTTTGAACACAAGGTCATAAAAGAAAAGGTTCCTCCAAGACCTATTCTGAAACAGAAATGTTCTAGGTAAGATTTTTAATAATTAATCAGTAATGATGTCTTAATGATGTCTCTTAGAATATAAATTCTTTTAAATGCAGATTTCTAAATTATCCTGTTTTTTAAATTGGCTGTGCATATATCCAAATAAATGCTTTTAAAATGATTTTTATGGATATTTAAAGCTTAAAGAGAGCTTGCCTTGAGTGGTTAAATACTAAAAACTTGATTCAGAATCCTTTAGTGGGTTGATTTTACGAGTAAAAGTATAACATTTGATGCTGTGAATTGACATGTGTGATTGATAGATTTGGCATTTAGATAAAAATTATATATTTAGCTCTCAGTTCTTTAAACTTTAATTCCACAAGCACTTTTTCTTTTTATCTCTCTTCATCAAACATTTTGAACCAGTGACTATTTCTTACCCTGAAATACTCAATGTACTGTTTAAATTATTCACTTCTCTGTATTTTTTGTTCAGATCAAATAATTCAAGTCCTTTTTTCTTTTCTTTTTGGTCCTGCTTTTTATTTTTCATTCTAAGAAGTGATTCTTTTTTATCATTTGTGACGAAGAAAAAGCAAAAGAAAAGAGGAACAGAATTATTTGTTGGAGAGAATTCATTGTAGCCATATGAGCCAAACTCCCATATTGTGGGTCATCATTGGAATGTGAAAATAATATTTTATCGTGGGCTCTTTCTTAGAAATGAGAGGTTACATGTAGTATCTTGCACAGTAATTTGTACTGTTCCTTTTTACCTTATGCAGTAACTTACATACATAGAAATAACACCTATGAATCTATATATTGCATCCTTAATTAGAAATCCCTTAATCATTGAAGTTCTTGTTTTATGAAACAAGTACCCTTATTTTGACCAAACTGACAGATTTTTTTTTTATATTTAGTAGAAGTTGTAGGCCAGTTTCTAATTAAAAAGGAAAACTTCTCACCTATTGCTTGGTTTCTACAATAGGCAAAGGAAAATAGTTCATTGAGTTTGTAACAGAGATGAATTATCACTAATCATAAGTGTTTATCAGCCTAGAGAAGCTAAGACTGAAGGAAGACAAAAAATTGAAGAGAAAGATCCAAAAAAAAGAAGCAAAAAAATTAGCACAAGAAAGAATGGAAGAGGACTTAAGAGAAAGTAATCCACCCAAAAATGAAGAGCAGAAAGGTATGCAGAAGTCCACAGCATTATTAGCATAATACACTCTCACTTAACAGTATAAATGTTAATGTTCATCTTACTGGGCTTTGTGTTGTTACTGAATTGAAATATAGATATCAGTTAATATTTTAATACTATCACCATCTTCTGTTACTCTGAGACACAGGGGATTAGTGTGGGGAGCACTAATTTAGAGCAATGTGTCAGGATTCCAACACTCACCTGCCACTAACTCTGGGCAAACTCTATGTCAGTTTGCTCATCTCCGAGGTGAAGGTGGACATAATATCTGACCTACGTGTTGCGTGTTTGACAGTGCACTGTAAATTCTGCTATATAGATTTAAGTTCCAAAATGTTGAATTGTAAATTAGCTCTTAATTATGTGTAATAATGGTGAATTCAAATAAAGAGGCAGTTCATGAACGATACCATAAATACCTTGTCCAGCCTTCTATTTTATGCTCATCTTGTCTGCATTTCCACATTTACATGGGAATGTCTCATTGGCAATTTTACTATTTCTGTGTACGTGCTGGCCAGTATGTTTATTTTCAGTATGGAATTGAAGTATGTTTTCCTCATGTTCTAGTATTATGAATGACTGTGTTTCCAAAATGGAATATTTTCCACTTGCCTCTTTATTTTTTATCTAGTATTACATCAGTGTTTCACAAATCAATCAAAATTATTGCTCCCACTGGAAAAATTTTCAGTGTATATATTTTAACTTTGAATGCTTAATGATTAAACATATTTATTGAACATAAATTTAAGATAGTTGATGAGGCTGGGTTAAGATTGTTGAGGGAAGTGACCGTATTTTAGAGGAACTAAGTTTTTAGATGCTACTACATGAATGGTGCAGAATGAAGGGTATAACCTACTTACTTTTGACAGGTTTAGTTTAATGTGAATGTTCATATTTTTTCAAAGAAATTAGTAAATATTTATATTCCTAATTAAAGTTTCTTGAGTTGTTTATGTAAAACAACATAAAGAATCAATCTGACTCATATTTTATATTATTACATAATGTTACATTATTTCTAAGTTTATATCATTGCAAATTAGTCCTCTTTATCACTTTAACTAACCATTGTTATTTTTCCTTAGAAACCGTAGACAGTGTTCAGAGCTGTCAGTTCCTTGATGACAGAATTCTACAATGCATAAAGCAGTATGCTGACAAGATTAAGTCTGGTATACTGAATACTTCCAAGCTGCTCAAAGAATTGCTTTCTTGGAAAGTTTTGAGCACAGAAGACTATACAACCTGTTTTTCTAGCAGAAATTTTCTAAACGAAGCAGTGGACTATGTCATTCGTCACTTGATTCAAGAAAAGAATAGAGTAAAGACAAGGATATTTCTGCATGTTTTAAGTGAGCTTAAAGAAGTGGAGCCCAAATTAGCCACTTGGATCCAGAAACTTAATAGCTTTGGTATGTCCCTTTATATTCTAGACCAGTACAGTTTAGTAGGAAGGAAAATATGGGTCTCTGAAATCTTCTTTCATTTCCCTATCATATTATTTATAACTTTTAAAATGTGGGACTATAAATTTGTGTGGTTAAAAATACTATTCCACACATACACATAATTTTTAGTTTATAGGTTGTTTACAATATACTTTTTTAAAAGGTGTAAACAAAAGAAAGATCAGTCAGTAGGAAATCCAGACCTATATTATGCTAACCTATTTATAAATGTGTGGCTAAGTGAATACCAGGCACTGCCATGTGTAAATGGCACATCCTGGATCTGCTGTCTGGAGAGCCATCTGGGATTGTACAGCTTAGTAGTTGTGTTGAGAGAGAAAAAGAATCTAAAATTTACACTCTTTGAAGAAAAATTTAGAAGGATGAGTAAATGGGGCTAATTGCTTAGGGTCACCTACGGCAAATCGATATCTAAAGATTAAGAGAAACATATCTTAATTTTATCTGGGGTTGAACTAGGCTATCATAAATCACAGGATTATACAACTCTGTTACTCTGTTCTGACTTTCCTGATTTGCCCGGGAGGAGGGAAGGTTGAGCAAGACCCCTGCTCTCACCAAGCAGGCTGTTTGCCCAAGGCGATGCAGGGACTGTAGAAGGCAACTGCAGATACAGCTATTGTCTGATACTAGGTAGGGATGCTTTGAGCGCTGACCAGGCCACTGTTTATTTTGGTGACCAGGATAGCAACTGGCCTAGCACGATAGTTGGTGGCTATTAGATAAGTGACTAAAGGGAGCCACAGGAGAGGGGCAGGGCCTTCAGCTGCAGTCCAGGAGTGTGGCCTGCCAAGCCTCTGCCAGCCACCCCCAACTTGCCTGAGTTTTTAGAGACTTGAGGCTATTAGAATTCTTGGCTTTCAGAGAAGATATATTGGTCAGTTTCTGTCAGTAGAGACAAAGTAAGATGGCAGCAAGCCATCTTATGATTATGATTAGCTGAATGCTCCTGCTTTGAGCGTAGATCTCCTTGAGTTTTTGGTCCCAGAAAGTTACTCTTAAGTAATAAGATTATCACCAGTGAATATAAGCTAAGTAAATTATAGTTACTGCTTACTTTAAACTGCTTTAGGAGGTAGACTCAAGACTTGGAGAAGTAGATTTGTCTGGGTTATGCTACATGGGCAAGAATGCCAGCCCCTGTTAGTTCAGGTAAATGCAGCTTTTGAGCCTTTCCAGCTTATTGGCTGGAAAATGTGAATATGTCTTTTGATATAATCTATGTTTATTTTGAAGATTAAAGGTATTAATAAGGATGTATGCATAGTATTTAAAGTTGTAATTTTTATTTAAAGTTGTAAAATGAGTTCAGATGTGTTAATTAGTTAAGTCTATCACTAAGGCCCTGATGTAAAATTCACATTTATTTAATAAAAGCAAGCAATTTGCAATTCCTGGAATTTTACTTCCTTTTCACAAAAAATATATACAGTGGAGTCACATCATGGGCATATTTAACATAAGGGAGGCTAATTTTTTATATGTTCAGCAAAAGATGGAGGGAGGGAGAAAGAAATAGAATACTCAAGAGAGAAAATTAACATTTCAATAGTTAACTTGGTCTACCTACATTCCCCTCACTGAGTGCAAGCTCTGATTGGATGGGGAATGTGAATGTGGTATTTCTTCATTGGAAGTTCCCTTAAACCTTCTATTGTATAAATATCTTATGTGGTCACTCATTCTGGCGTTTAAAGGTACTAATTCTCATGCAGCATGATCTTTGCAAGCTAACTTTTATCAGGAAGAAACAACAATCCACGGTAATTTTGACTGAGCAATCTCTGCTTCATTTGTTGATTTGAGAACCTAAAGCCCGTTGAAGTAGTGACTGTTTTGTATTCGAAGCACGATGGGGAAATTGAGCAGAACTCCTTTCTGCTTTTTGGTGGCTCTGTTAGTGAGGAGCGGGGGCTTCACCATCCTTTCAGTAGGAGTGTATGAGATTACAGCTATCCAGTTTGCTGATTTAGAGAATGGAGAATAAAAGCAGGAATAGTATCCACCTTGATTTTTATAGAGGAGGGTAAGGACCCATGGTATTTTGGGAGTTAAGGAAGATTTTGCACATTGTTGATGTTTTACTACATATATTTACTATGGAATACATGTAGGAAAACATTGTAAAATCTTGCCAGTTTGTACTAATTAGAATGAAAGTCATTATGAATTAATGAAAAAATTGTTATATTTTTAAAGGAATTTAATGCCATACTTTCACTTCCTGAGTCTAATGAAGATAACTATAATGAAAGAAGCCTTCTAATACATATGAATTATTATAATTAGCATATCAGTTTTAAACGGTATTTCTAAAATGCATAATAGCTTGAACAAGTCTGTTCTCAAGTGTTTAAATGTTTTCACTGAAAATAGGAGCAAACTATAACTGCTTTAAGAGATATGAAATTAAATGTGATTTTACAATAAATAATTTTTTGCTTCTTCTGATTTGGGTTTTGTTTTTGTTACAGGCTTAGATGCCACAGGACCTTTTTTTTCTCGTTATGGAGCATCTCTTAAGGAGCTTGATTTCAGCATCATGACTTTCCTCTGGAATGAGAAATACGGTCATAAACTAGGCTCTATAGAAGGAAAGAAACTTGATTATTTCTATGAGCCAGCATCATTGAAGGAAGCACGTTGTTTAATATGGCTCCTAGAAGAACACAGAGACAAATTCCCAGCACTGCACAGTGCTTTAGATGAATTCTTTGATATAATGGGTATGTGGACCAAATTTAGATTTATGATATATCTAATCTTAAGGAAAGAAGTCTGTGATGAAGGACCTAGCTTTGTTAATACTTAACAAATAGTGTTGAAAATAGGCAAAATAACAAAATAGAAAATAATGAAAACTATTAGGTACAACTGGTTTATTTGAGGAAGTTCGTGATTGACAATAGTGATTTTTTTATGTCATTGAAGCTTTTTTACTTTATTGAGCTATTGTGGAGATACTCAAATGGGTATGTTATGCTAACTATACACCATGCTATTCCCATCTTAGATATTTTTACAGCCTCATGGGAAAATTGCATATTAAAAGGGCATAATTTATTAGCAAATGGTGATTTGTAGCATTCAAGAAAACATTTGCCTACAGAAGTAGCTTATGTTTGCAGAATCTAGAACAGATACCACATCTGTTTTAATTGGAAGAGCCTAGAACTGGAAGTCAGGAAAAGTAGGCTGTGGTGCAGTTTCTTCCCTAAGTTACTTCGTTAAAAACCTTCTGGGCCTGGTGCTAGGTGTTATGAAGGAATTCAGAAATGCTTATGCCAATCCCTGCCCTTAAGGACCTTATGTTCTAGAAAGTGGAATAGGAAGAATGCACTAGTAACTGTAACATGGTAAGAAGCTTGATAAGGGACGACCAGAGAGAGTGCCGAGGGCTTCCAAGGAAGGACCCAGCCCTTTCCTTCTCCCTGGGAGTGGGAAGAGCCTTGGTGCAGAGATAGACCGTGTGATGGGCTGTGAACATGGGAGTGGAATTGGACAGGGGGTGTCGGGGCTTAGAGAAGAGGGTGGAGAGCAATTGAGGGGCCCATTTGAGTAACGGCGTGGAGTCCAGTTTGGCGAAATAGGCTAACTAGCAGTTAATTCCTTAGCTTCTCTTTGATCTTAGTTTCTTCATCATTAAAATGAGATGATTTGGAGCCAGTGATCTGTGTGGTCTCATTTTACTTCAAAATTCTAATATTCTTAAATTCTAAATTTTAATTTTTTACATTTCATATGACATGTACATCTTATGATAATCCCTTCCCCTTGTCCCTCAGAATCAGAAATCTTTATATATTGTCAAGAGCTAGACTTCTAAATTTCACACTACTTGTTTCAAAGGGTACATTAAAAAATCTGGTCTTGTACAACAGTGTCACAGATTTAAAAGTTTAAACGTGGTATAAGGAAGTGGAAAGCTTACTTTTGTTGTGGTTCTTAGGAAAGACCACACTCAAATATAGATGGCTTTATCTTTCCAGGGTACCGCTTCATGACTGAAAGTGACTTGCTACTTGATAGCCTGAGCCTGAATTTATTGCCATCAGTTTGCTGCTGCTGGTAATAAAATGCTGTCCTGGGGCTGAGCTTACAAAACCTGATGCATGTTTGGATCACAGAGCAAGACAACTAAAAAGTACACAATTCCCCCTCAGCGGGCACTCTTCCTGATTCTTGAGTTCTGTACCCAAACTACACAGTACATCTGGCTGCCACTGTTTCTCTGTTTTTAGACATGAAGTTGGAAGACACCAACCAAAATTACTGGCCATTCCAACAGATTGTCAGGTCCCATGGATCTGTCTTCCACCCTCATCCCAGACATGTTCAGTTTTATCTCTTCATTTAAGGAAGGATTGTGTTAAAAATTTTCAAAATTCACTGATCTTTTAAGTCAGGGTGTTCAGTAATGTCACCAGTAGTTGGAAGCCCCAAATTCTCTCCTGAGCTCTGGATGCATATTTCCCTAGGGAATTTCTGTCAGACGGCCAAAGGGCCCCTTGAAGCAATGTGACTGAACCCACTCGTCACATCCCTTAAATTTATCTCAGTTAACAACATTGTTGTGTATCTAGTTTTTAAGCAGGAAATCCTGGAATTAGTCTCAACTCTTTCTTTTTCTTAATACTGTTATATAATAGTTTGTCACCAGTCCAAATAAGCTTTATCTTCGATCTGTCCTTTCCTGTCCATCCCACTTCCCCAGGCCAGGACCTCAGTTATCTTTCCATAAGTAAACTATCGCAGTAGCTGCAAACTGGTTTCCATGCCTCTCCACCCTCTGACTCCTAATCTTCCTCTTGTGTTGCAACTAGTGATTCTTGACACCTGTCTGATCCTGTAACTATTCGACTTGGAAAACATTTTCTTAGTTTTGCCTACAAGTTAAGTTCACGGCATCTGTCTGAATTCCTTATCACTCTCCTTGTCTGTCCTCTGAGCACATACCCCACTTCTAGTTGTGCCCAAACCTTCCTTCCTTCCTCCTGTCTTTGCTCATGCACTTTCCACAGCCATGCCCCATCTCTACTTAATAATTTCATGTCTAACTTAAGTGTCTTCTCCTCCCCAGAATCTCTATGCCCATCCTCGGTCCCCTCCCCGTGCAGACTTGCTCCCTCCGTCAGCTTTGTTGCCGTGTACTTCACAGTGGCACTTAGCACACTGGGTTACAAGTTGTCTTGTTGGCAGTAGAACACAAGCTCATCAATGGCAAGGACTGTCTTACGCATCTCCGTATTCCCGGCACCAGCATAGATGGCATCTAGAAGGCACTTAAATTATGCTGATTTGGATTAAAATTTTGTGGCTCTTTGTAGTTGGTTTCCCATTAAGTCAGCCATTTGGTCCTTGGTTTCTAAACAAGTGTCAAAGCCAAATAAGGACTAGAAACAGTCTTGCTTAGTAGTATCAGGGGTAGTTTTTAGGCTTTAGTGTATTATATAGAAATGTAAGTATTTAGTTTCCTCACAAAACCATCTGTATCTTCCTGCAGACAGCCGCTGTACTGTGTTAAGGAAACAAGACAGTGGCGAAGCTCCGGTGAGTTACTTAGTCACTAAATCTTATGTTCTAATTCGTGTTACCCAAAGGATGAGGGAAGGACCCAGGCCAGTGTTTACTGATGTCACAGGTAGCATTCCAAAACCAAATTAAGAGACCTTCTGAATAATGTGTATTATTTCATTAGAAAGTTAATGCCAGTCTTTCTTTTGGAATTGGAGTAATAATCAGCCAACTCTGAGGCTTAAATGAGACAATTTCCATAAAGTTTGACAGCTAATAAATGTTAATATTAGAAATAGAAAGGAGTTTATCTCCTGGCATAAAAATGAAAAGTTATCTTTAATGATTAAAATTTTAATGTTTTGCTCTGGAAGAAAAACAAAGGGACTTTGTTTTGAGTGGCTCCAAATTGAGTTTAAGTTAAAACAGTTGTAGAGTTGTCTTTTGTAGTAGGTTGCAGTTGCCTTTTATTCTTTCTGCCAGTTCAGAAATTCTTCAGTTTTAGAAAGCGATTAAATAGAGAAAAGAAAAGCATTGTGCCAGTTTTCAAAGAGAAAGATGCTTGATTTTCAGGAGTAAATCATCTGTCTATATGAGATTTTTTTTTTTTTGGAGACAGACTCTTGCTCTATAGCCCAGGCTAGAATACAGGAGCATCATCATAGCTCACTGCGACCTCCAACACCTGGGGCTTAAGCAATCCTCCTCCCTCAGCTTCCCGAATAGCTGGGACTACAGGTGTGTGCCACCACGCCCGGCTGATTTTTCTATTTTTTGTAGAGATGAGGTCTCACTCTTGCTCAGGCGGGTCTCAAATTCCTGACCTCAAGCAATTCTCCCGCCTTGGCCTCCCAACGTGCTAGGATTACAGGCGTGAGCCATTGCGTCTGGCCTATATGTGAAATTTTATCTTAATCTGCTCTATCAAATATTGCCTGGCTGAATATGGAAACACAGATAACATACCCTGTGAGAAGTTCAGTGCTTCTTTATTCACTGTTTATGTTCCAGCATCTGGCCACGTGTAGAATGTCTAGTTTGGCTTAGTAAAAGGAATATCATAAAAATGCTATTACAGCATATAACCGGAATTACTTAAAAGTCTAATTAATTACTTGAAATAACACATATCATGTTGAAAATGAGGTAAAAATATTGGAACAATTTAATTTTGTTTATACTTTTAGGCATTATTAAATTTTTTCTTATTTTCTATCATGGCATTTGGGCTGATACACTATAGTGTTATTTTTCTTAAACATTTTATATACATTTAACTTAAGACTAGTCTGTGAAAATCAATGTGGTTTCTTTTTGTTGAGCTTCATAATGCCATTATTTGAGTGTTCATTGATTTTTTTTCTTTTTCCATTTTTTAGTTTAGTTCTACCAAGGTGAAAAACAAAGGAAAGAAAAAGAAGCCAAAAGATTCAAAGGTATGTAGTGTTACCTGTATTCCTGTCTAAACTCTCCGTAATTAATTGGATATATAAATTAGAGTTAAGCAGTTCTTGGGATATTTTGAAACATCTTGTAGAGAAAGACTTTCTAGGCTTTAAAGATAGATATTTTGGCAATCTGCATATTGAGAAAATTTAAGGTTTACGTCATATAAAAGTTAACTCTTGAAAGAAACTCTTACTCTTTATTGTGCTTTTTATTTTCTGCATATTTCTGAGTGAAAACACTGTCATCTTATAGAAGTCTGTGGGTGGTCATAGAGCAGAGTGGCTAAGAAGGCTTTGGGGTCAGCAGACCTGGGTTCACATCTTGGTTCCACCAGTTATCTTTGTGACCCTGGGCAAGTTATTTCACTTTCCTGTGCTCTAGTGCTGCGGTCCCCAACCCCCAGACTGGTCTGTGGCCTGTTAGGAAATAGGCAGCACCTCACCCCCTCAGCGCCGTACCACCCTCCCCCACACCCCCACCCCTGGTCTGTGGAAAAATGGTCTTCCATGAAACTGGTCCCTGCTGCCAGAAAGGTTGGGGACCGCTCTCTAGTGTGCTCACCTATGTAACAAGAATAATAGTGGTACTTATTAATAACTAATGGAGTTGTTATGCTTATTCAGTACTAAGAACTTAGTAATTATCATCTATTTTTATTACTAAACTGAATTTTATGGGGAGATAAGAAAGTAGAGTAATAGTGTCTAGTATCAGAAGATTTTGTTGAAGCTATTATATTTATATTCATATATTTATCTAAAATAATCAAACTAAAAATGATTACTTCTAATCATATAACAATCTCAGGATTGAGAGGATCCTTTCCTTCCACTCACCAAAGGCTCTCCTCCAAGTCCATGAGTTACATAGGGCGTTATTTTTAAGTCTCATGGTGGGTTCTTCATGGCGTATGTTGCAGGGGAAGGAAAGGGTACAGGGATGAGAGAGTGAGTAAATCTTAGAAGGCTTGAGCTCCAATAAAACTTTTCTTTTTGTCTTTGACTATATGCCTTTAGTTTAGCTAAAATGGGAGTTTAAACTGAGTGACGTTTTAATTTTTTTGGAACATTAAAAACTACCCTAAATGTTAGTTTGAGCTTATTTGTGGCTGTTTAAATTACT